GTACACTGGAGTCACTATAACTGTGTAGTTCCTCTCTGTCAGCGATAGACTTGGATTGCTTTAACTATTCAGACATAGGGATAGTTGAGGAGTGGGTTATGAAAAATTGTTTTTTTGGCAGGTAAGTAAAACAACCACAGAAGTTTTTCTGAAGCTAAAGACTGTATTAGTAATGACAGACATTTTCCCTCTCCTCTTAGGCACCTGAATTCTAGTAATATTTCTTCCATATTTTACAGTTATGCAATGAGTAGAGAATTTTGCCATCAGTACACTGTGGAAAAGGCTGCACAATACATTTGTATGAAGATACGATATCCTTGGAGTATAGCTTAAGTGAAGCTGCATGCAGAGGGGATCAGAGAGGTGAGAAATTCTCATTTTGGCCATATTAAAGTCAATATAAACACTGTGTGTGCTGGTGTTGTAAATATATATATGAAAACAATAAAAGGTTGGAGTAGATCTCTGAACAACCCCAAAATAACCCATCACCTGTGCTTATGTATTATGGATGCATTCTTAAGACCATTGCTCTGTGGCACCAGACAGTACTGTAGACATCAAATGAAGTTATGAATTCCATTCATATTCTAAATTTCTTTTAAAGTGTTGGAAAATGACATTCACCGCTTCATCCTATGGCAACTTTAAGATGTAACCAGGCAGTCAACCTACCCTTCAGGTAAGCACACAGCTCACAGAAGAGAGGGACTGAAGAGCTGAGTAACACTTTCAAAACAAAACTGAGAGCTTTCAAGATTTATTTTGCATGTTTTGAGGTTTTCTTACAAACTTGTACCATAAAGTATTTCACTATGTGTACCTGAGATAAATTACTTATATCTGCAGGACAGTGTGTGGTTTGGGACAGAAATCAGCTACATTTAGGTGGTTGAAACTGGCTTTTTCTGTTTTGCTTCTGTTATGATACTGACTGTTTGGAATACTCAGAAGTCTTTAGATAAAAGACACTGCAGCACAGCAGACTATGGTTGACTGATGCTTATTTAGTTATGTACAACTAGTGGCTTTGCCACAGACCTTTCAAGTGATCTTGCTCAATTAAATTAAGCCCTGTGTCAATTGAAAATACTGGAGATTACTTCCATTTTCTCTTTGCTGTCTACTTAGCCTGTCAGGTATTTGATTGTAATATAGTGGTTGTCACATATATAACAATGGCAAAATGAAGCCCTGATCTTGAATGGGGCATGTAAACAACACTGCAACATAGCAAAGTTAATAGTTTGACATGGTAATGCTAGAACTTGGTGTGTATATTTTAAGTGAGGGGACACCTGGTCCTCTATAATCTGAGATATCCCCGGGTCAAGGAGTTTTAGTCGAATTGGTCAGGTGAGATCTGCTCCTTTGTATCAGGCCCAGTTCCTGCAGGCGCTATATAAGCAGTATCTTGAGAATTTACAGGCATCAGAAACTGCCTTAAAGAAGATTTTTTGTATAGAGGAAATCTCTATTTTCTTAATGCTGCTGGTGAAGGCCTGCCTGCAGCAGTAGCTCTGCCATCCTCTACTCTGAAGTGCCTTTCCTCCCCTTCTGCTGCTTTCCCAGCCACCCATTGACGGGATCAGATGGGATGGAGAGCAGGAAGGTTTGCTGCAGAGAGGGGAGGCGTGGTAGAATCAAACTCTGACATTCTTTATATCAAATTAAAATCATGTGCTGTTATTTAAGGATACCCTCCTGCCAGGTGTAGATTAGCCCAGGACTGAGCTGCTGAGAGTGTTGGGGACAATTTAAAAATTTAATTCAAACCTACCAGAATTTAAATTCAAACCATCTTTGCTTTGCCTGCAAATGACCATAGCATCATTGGCAGCAGCTGTGCAGCCTGTGGGCAAAGTTCTGCTGTTTGCATGTCCGTGCCAGGAAAGTGCTCCTTAGCCTGAGAGGAGACACTGGGCCGTGGCTGTGCAGAGCTCTCCGTAGAGCCCCCTTGGCCCTGTGTGTATGGACCGAGAACAGCTGTGAACTGCTGACTCAGTGCATGAGAGGGCTATGGAGGGATAGTCATATGTGGAACTATTTCATACTCATCACTGTTTTGTGAAGTGTTTAATCATTCCACCACACATAATATATGGAATTAATCACTTCATGTGATGTCCTTTACACCTGAGCAGCTAAACAGGCTTCTTTTGGAATACTGTATTAGATATACATCATATGACCTTATGTCACCTAGACACTGTCACACTGAAGCTTTACAGTTAAAAATTACAAGAAATATCTTGGACAACTCAGGCATTATTTTAGAAACGTTAGGCATCCATTCTGTGTTCCTAATACAATGTTAACTGGTTGTTTACAGTTAGATGCTGTTAACCAATCCAAATATTTTACAGTATGGGAAAGATTCACTGCTTGCAAGTCTCTGTTTTCATATAATGTGCAGGTTATAGGCACTGACTTGTTCCGGAAACTACGAATGCTTCACATTACATAAGTGAACATCAACATCCAAGGCAATGCAGATCTTGTTTTAACAGTTCGGTTCTGATCTTACTTACTATTTTTTACTTTTCTCTTGCACACATATAGATCTTTCCCTATTAGGAAGCTAAGAGATGCAGGCAATATTTTTTGCTGCTAGTGGTGCATAATAATTATCAGAAACAGAACTCCAGCAACAGTGTTGCCGAGTCCATTTTGTTAGCTGAAGTATAAGTGTGCTTTGTTACTTCTTAAAATATATATGCTTGTATACGTATACAAAAATAGTCTCTCTTAATTATTGCAGAAATAGATAAGTTGCTGTTACTATCAATACTTCATGGATATTGTGGTAACAGCTGATTTTAGAGCACTGATGGTGGCAAAACAGTTCCACATTGAACCAAAATTACACGTATTCTCAGGATACCAGTGTGGAATTGCACTGAACTCGTAGAGTTCTTAGTCCTCTAGTTCCCAGAGAGGACCAGGGTAGGTAATGGAAGGAACTTTATAAAGCAAGGGATTTCTGAGAAGAAAGTCACTGTGTAGCTGACTGCTAAAGTACTCGAGTCTGGCATCTCTTGCGCATTACAAGTGGGTAGTTGGCATATCGCTTACAGTAGGAGACATGCAATATTGTTTGTGCCCTCTTTCCCTCTTGATACATGATGCCACAAAGACATCTACTGATGAGGAAGTTTGCTGCTTGGACATGAGTTGTGATAAGCATTTGCAACCTGAGGGGAATGGATGATAAAACCATACGCTTATGCGCCAAAGTTACAATAAGAAAGAGACAGTCTATCAGTCATGTGAATTGTGATTGGCCTGTTGCGATGGAATAGCTTTTAACAAAAAAAAAAGAAAGCTATTTACCTTCTGAATGGATTTTACATAGTTGCACAAAAGGGAAAAGAAATAAGAAAAGAAGAGAGAAGAGAATAGAAAAGAAGAAAAAGGTTCCCACCAGCTCTCCCCCTCCAAAATTAGCATTGGCATTGGTGAAGTCACACACAAAGGAAAGTCTCACTTTCTTTGTGCCTCTCACAATGACATCAACATGCATGGCTATGAGATGACGAGAGAGTACCTCACTCACAATGAGTAACAAATTAGAATTTTCTTCAAAGTAAAAAAATGATAACACAAGACCATCATAGGTATATGCTAGCTCTTTCAAAACATCTCTTTTTTGACTAGATGTCAGTTAAAATCACTTGGCTGGCAATCTGTTCTATCTAATACAACAGAGGGGGTATTCTGAATAGGCTGAAGAATGTCTACTATGCAACTTGGCTGGAACATCTGCCAAAAATGAAGTTGGCTTTGTTTTCAACATGGTTATCTACTTCGAAATTACTCCATAGAATAAATAGTGATATTCCATGGGTAGAGGTAGATTATGGGGTTTAAATAATTAAATTGGAGCCCCGTAACTTTATGTGCTATAGGAGGATTCTCATAAAACTGAGATATTCCCATAATTAACCACTAGCCATGGGATATTATAATATATTCCATGGTGACTAGTATTTTTTCCATTTCCCTCCCCCCTCCCAGTAGAATTAGTATGATTAATTTTGCTCTGGTTTCACCTATTGCTAACATGAATCAGTATAATTAAAAATAAGAATACCATATTATGAGGCAATCACTGTTTAGGCCAAACTGGCCAGTAATGACCAGTCAGACCTTTTTCAGTTGGCCTTTGCTGCCAGAAGGTTGAAAGAGCTGTATCTCACCAACCCATACTTGCAAAAGGAGCATGTTTTAGAAAATGTGGTTCAAAACTCTTCATAGTTCTAAATGCTAAATTCTAGTGGAATATTATAGAATAGATTGATTTGCATGCCATGGAATAAACATCCTTACATCTAGTCTTGTCTCAGAGTGAGTCATTTTGCATTAGTGTCAAGAATTTGAGCTGTTGTTCTACTTTGCAGTTAATCATCAGAAAGAGACGGGATTGTCTCATGAATATGCATGAAGTTGTCCCTTCAACTTACTAGGCACCTAGTTTCTGTAATGAGATGTACAATATCTGCCATTTAAAACAGCTGAAAGGTCCCAAATGGGAACAAATGAGAAAGCATCTGGCTGTTTCGAATTCCAGCCCTGTTTTGTCAGAAAACTCTGTAATTGCTGAGTACTTGGCTCCTACTCTGCTCTATGAAGCATTCAGCTCTCAGGAGCCTCTGAGATGCATTACACAGTCCAGCAACATAGCTGTAGAACTCTCAAAATTCTTCCACTAGATGTAACAGCTCTTCAAAATATCTTGAGACTTGTATGCCCTTAACCAGGACCAAAGTTTTGGCTCCTAGAGCGTGCTCTCATCCTTAGTTTTGCTGATCAGCCTCCACTGTACCATTTGTCCCTGCAACCTAGACTTCACACATATTATTCACTGTGTGATGGTGGGACTAGAATGGATAAATGTGCTACCCATTGCTCTAAGAAAGCAGTCTGGCTGAATCTTAAATCACTACGCGGGATGGAGGTTAACGGTCAGATGGACATTCCTCTAAGAGGTTTCCTACCTGCTCTGTTAATTTCTAAAATTTCTTCTTGGGCCAGAGGGCAAGTGTCGCTCTGAGTACTGTGGTGTGGAGAGTTTACGACAGATTTACAATAATTGGGGGATCCCAGCTGGGGTGGCCTCGGGATATGCTTCTTTTTTTTCTTTGGTAGCTTCTGCTTAGCCATAGCTAAGGAGTAATACATTCCGAAATTGTTCACAATGACAGGGACAGGCATGGCAATGGTCAGCACACCAGCAAGAGCACAGAGGGCCCCCACCAGCATGCCTGACCAAGTCTGAGGATACATGTCTCCGTAGCCCAGGGTCGTCATGGTGACAACAGCCCACCAAAAGCCGATGGGGATATTTTTAAAGTGTGTGTGTTCACTGGCACTAGGGTCATTTGGTTTAGCACCTATTCTCTCGGCATAATAGATCATCGTGGCAAAGATTAAGACGCCCAATGCCAAAAATATGATGAGCAGCAAGAATTCATTTGTGCTGGCGCGGAGGGTGTGTCCCAAGACCCGCAACCCAACAAAGTGGCGGGTCAGCTTGAAAATTCGCAGGATTCGCACAAAACGGACTACGCGGAGGAAGCCTAGGACATCCTTAGCAGCTTTGGAAGACAGGCCACTGAGTCCAACCTCTAGATAGAAAGGCAGTATGGCCACAAAGTCAATGATGTTCAAAGAGTTTTTGATAAATTCCACCTTGTTTGGGCAGAAAGTGACTCTCATCAAGAACTCAAATGTAAACCAGACCACACAGACGCCTTCGATGTAGGTGAGAAAAGCTTCAGTCTCTGCTTCCCTGTAGTGCCGCACCTGGGTGTCATTCCCGATGAATTCAGTTTCTGTCTTGTTCACAATGGGGTTAAATCTCTCATGGGTCTCGAGGCAGAAGGTGGTGATGGAGACCAGAATGAAGAAAAGGGAGGCAAATGCCACATACTGTGGAAAGAAAGATATGAGAGAAATGTTAAACAGTAGGTTAAGTACAGGGGCTTTCATTCTGAAACACCAGGGAGAGACAAGAGCTGTATTAAAACTAAAGATAATACTAAACCTTCTTCCTGTGGGCTAAAGATGCCAAGTCTCACCTGCAAAGACAGCCTAATGTTCAAACTTGGAGGGAGAGCAGTATATAAGTACATGCTAACATCCATTCCTATACAGATAGCACTTTAGTGTGAGTGTAAATTTAAGCAAGCATTTAAATCTCAGAGCTTTCTGTGAGATTTAAGGTTAAGGACATATTGAAATTCTACCTTCCTGAACTTGGTCTTCTGTTACTTCCTGGTCTTAAAGATAGAGCATACCTCCTAGGACAATTGTCATGCAAGAGTCTTTTTGCAGCATTGTGTCAGTGGTATGGTGGCTGCCTCCTGTTCCCAGCTTAGTGATAGTTGTGGTATTTCAGATCTCAGTAATGTGCTAGTAAATACTAGTGGCAGTCTCAGGTGGGCTCTACAGAGAGGAGTGGAGTCTTGCTTGGCATTGTCAGCCGTTCTTGCCAAATCCCAGGGACAGGTTGAGGAACAGTCACATATCAAACCAAGCTCTCCTAGAGTAAACATCTTCTCTGTTCTCATTTGCCTTCTCCAGATCTTTTGGGGGTGGGGGACAGAGAGGGGAAGAAAGAGGTTTCAGGTAAGGCTGTCAGTTGATCCAAAAGGAGACACATCTATTGGATTTTACCAGACAAGGTTTTCTTGAAGAGATTCTCATTACAGTGTAAGACTTGTACCAGAACTAGATGAATCTTTTTTAAGGCTGTTGGATTACAGTTTGGTTAATCAAGTTACAGTGAAGGTGGTAGCAACCCCCAAAGTCAATGAGTCTTTATCTTAGGAGTATTTGCCTCTTCTGCTTCAGTTCCTGCTTTTCATAGACTCATAGAAAAGTTTGGGTTGGAAGGGACCTTTAAAGGTCATTAGTCCAACCCCCCTGCAATGACCAGGGACATCTTCAACTAGATCAGGTTGCTCAGAGCCCCGTCCCACCTGACCTTGAATGTTTCCAGGGATGGGGCATCCACCACCTCTCTGGGCAACCTGTGCCAGTGTTTCACCACTCTCATCGTAAAAAATTTCTTCCTTATATCTAGTCTAAATCTACTTTCTTTTAGTTCAAAACCATTACCCCTTGTCCTATTGCAACAGGCCCTACTAAAAAGTCTGTCCCCATCTTTCTTATAAGCCCCCTTTAAGTATTGAAAGGCCGCGATGAGGTCTCCCCGGAGCCTTCTCTTCTCCAGGCTGAACAACTCCAACTCTCTCAGCTGTCGTCAGCCTAAAGGAGATATCTTGGTGGTATTCCAGGATGATTAAGAGGTACAGTCAGGCCAAAATTCACAGCTCTTGTAACCACAGTTCCTCTGCTCAATCCTCCTTTAATCAATAAAGTAGTTTGCATATATCTAAGAAGTCTCTTTGTGTGTTGGAGTGGTACAGTAACGGTAATACCTCTTTCCATTTCACTCCCTACATCTGTTATCTTCCTGTTTGTCTTGTGCGTCACCTTGACAAGAGACATCACATAAGATGATATTTCACTGTCTTCATGAGCATGAGCAACTGTGGTAATTATTCGAATATTCTTATAGTGTCCTGTTATTCATAATGTCCCTTTTTCAGCAGTGTAGCCAAAATAGGGGTTAAAAAGAACTAGTTTCTTCTAATTGTCTGTTGCCAGTAAATGCAGTGCAATAATCTAAAAGAAATTGCTGCCAAAGGAATAGACCAGTTAAAAATAACCTATGCTTCAAGCTACCAAAGCTCTCTTGCAATCAAGAAGTTCCTCCTGTCTGCTTTCCTGGGTTGACCTGAATGCAGAATTATGCTTGACCTTCTGTATTAGCAAACAAAGTCAAAAGCAAGGATTTGCCACAGTTTGAGGTGAACCATTTAATAGAATACAGAACAACTGGCAGAGAATAAAATCACAGAATTGTTTAGGTCGGAAGGGCCCTCTGGAGGTCGTTTGGTACAACTTCAAAGTTGGAGCAGGTTGCTCAGGGTCTTGTCCAGTCCAGGTCTGAGTATCTCCAAGGTTGGAGATTCCACAGCCTCTCTGGCAGCCTGTGCCAGTGTTTGGCCAGTAAGAGCAAATAAGCTTGGAAGGATACAGAAGCAAACAGGCTCTTCTGCTTTTCAAATCCAACTTTGTTGCCAAAGAGATCAGAACCTAGCCATTGTCACAGATTTAAAAAAACTCAGTACCGTCCCCTAAATGCTTCAGGCTATCATAGCATTGTTATGTGATGATCTAATATACGTGCTGATATGTGCTAAAATCAGTGTCTAATATAAATAGTTGTCTGGAAGATAAACAATCTGGAGGGTAGGGAAATTGAGAAGCAGGACTGCGGGTATCTTTTTATCAGATTCTCCTGTTAAACAGGGAAATTTCTCCATGCACAGTTCTCCATCTGTAAAATAGCTTAAAAAAAAAAAACCAGCTAATGTTTGTCATGTGCTTTGTGATCCTAGATAAATGTGTACAGGTTCTATATGCTTTCATTTTAATGTTACTGACTTTAGTATATCAACAATTTCCCTGAAAAGTAAGTTGAAGAGTATTTTTAGTGGTCAAAGTCAGTTTGTGTATGATATTGTTAACACTCAGAGCTTAATTAGGTAGAGGTTAATACCCCAATTGTCTGAGTATGGCTAAAATGAGAAACAAAAAGCATCTTGTACTAAGAACTCAGGAAAACGTTCCTAGCAGCCTCAGCATGTCTGCTCTATTTCAGCCTGGAGCAGAGTTTTACCATAGAGTCATAGAGCCCTGAGAATTCAAGCTGCAGAAGGAAATGCTGATACTTTGTTAAGTCAGGTAACGCTCACAGATAAGAAGCAGAGAGGGAAATAAAACCATTTTGCATTTTAAGGGTCTGTGAAGAAGGCCCCTTTCTTTATGCTGACTCAAAATGCAATTCTCCTCTTGGTGTATATGAGTATCTCTCCTGAGTGAGTTTTTCCTGCTTAGGACAACCTTCAGGCTGACCTTGCACAGCAAGTATCTTGAAAAGTGATGTTTTGTTGTATTAAAGGTAAGAAATAACCAATTCTGACAGGACATTTAAGTTCTCTGCAGTGGTACATGCTAGCAGCGTTATCAGTAGAGAACATCACACCCATGATCTCTCTTGCTGTTAGCCCTTGTGTGTGCACACCTTGGCTTCAGAGGGGAATTGAGAACTTTTAGTTCCCAGTTCAGCAGAGCAGGAAGCACCTGCTAAATGAACATGAAGCGTTTGCTTCCTTCTATCTGTATTTAACAACATCCAGAGCCCTTCTGGCAGGAATGGGCATGTTCTTGAATGCTTTGCAACTTTGGAAGTGTGGGTCTGCTTTCGAGATTTCATAAAACCATGTCTGAGCAATGGTATTGACAGGAAGAATCCCAGTATTTCTTCTCTAATTTAATTTTTTTTCCTCTGTTGAATTACTATCTAATCCTAAAACCTTTTTTATATTTGGGAAGTAAAAATGCTCCTTAGTCATTCCATGCTTCAATATTGAAAGGCCCTTGTTTTTTGTCTTAGAAGAAAGTCTGCACAGGCTGAAAGGAGAAGACAATGGAGAGCAGCCTTTTAATAAAGGTCCCATTACAGTTCCCCAGTCCCTTGGCTGATCCAAAGAGGTGCAGAAATGCCTGAGAATCAGGCCTGACAATTCATTCACTGGCACCCATCTCTGATAGATTTGTCACCTGCAGCTGCTTGGGACACAGAAATTTAGCAGCTTGCTGCAAACGAATGCGTAATGTATCATTGGCATAGATTTATGTTTGTGATCCCAAATTTAGATTGCCCCCGCCCCTTTTGTCTTCTGAATATTTTTCTTTGTTAATTATCTGATATAAGATCTAGCAAGCTGTAAGCAATATCCAATAGCACCAAATTCAGCAAGTATGGTTTTCTAAGGAGACCAGCATTCATTCATGCCAAAGGGGTCAAAAAGAGAGCTCTCTCTGGCCCACCGTCAGAGGCCAACAGAGGTCAGCCATCACGCCCAACAGCTAGCTTGTCAAGTCCAGAGATGAGCAATCCTGATAAAATCTAGTGAAGACTATGGGACTCGTAAGTGTTCTAATGTCTTTTAAAATAAGGCTATCTCTTTTTATTTCACTAATAATGGCCTGAACACTAATGAATTGCTCTTGTATTATTTAGTCGTTCTTAATCTTCTTTCTCCTTACATTTTACAACAGAATTTCTCTTCTTCCTAGGATCTGAATGGGCTGGGGGAAAGGAGTGAGGATTTTATGAAGTGATGTCACGTGCTGCTGAGTTACATAATGGCAGCTAAAATTTTCTATAATTAAAGAAAATACCTAGGTAAAGTGTTTGAAGTGATCAAAACTCTTTTATCTCCTTTGACACATGTGAATGATTCCTATTTCACTAGAGATGCTGCTGCCATTGCTTTCTTCTGGCTCTAATACCAACAAAGAGAAATCTCAGATTGTCCAAAACCACAGAAGCCGTGAGAGAAGGCAGAGAGGAGGTTTTAAAAGGGGATATTTTGATTAAAATATAAGTTACATTAAAATGTCTTCATTCTGGAGAGAGAAGAAATTACACTCCTGCATAATTTCTGTTAATAGCAGATATATTTTAATAAGGTTATTTTGAAAGGGTCTAAAAGACGTCATGCCCATAAGTGGAGAATTTCATCATCTAATTTATATTGCCTCTGATTAAATCAATCTATCTATCTCAAAATCTATCTCAAAGGCATGCTTCTCCACTGCCCTATGTCTAACCTAGCCATTATTGCCAGTGCAGTGTGAATATGAAGTGCCAATTAATTCAGAATAGTAGTGTTTCACATCAGCTTTGCATAGCTGTAAAAGGAGCAAGGTAACAGAATCAGACCTACCCTCTCATGAATAATAAGCCAGTATCTTTCCACTCAGCATGGAAAGAAAACAAAAGTCCAACA